CCCGCCGCCGTCACCCTCCTTTATCTCCCTCTCTCGCTCTCTCGCTCTCCTCCTCTACCTTAGTTTAAACTGTTGGTCTCGCCTTTCTTCGGTTGATTACTGATTCTTCCCTCTCCTCCCCTCCCTCTTCCTCTTCACATCCCCATCTCCCTCTTTCCTTTTCCCCATCTTTCCCCTCTCCTAACCCTCCACGTCTCACCTCACTTGCTTCCCATTTCAATCAGTCCTCACTTCCCTTTCCTCGTTTTCAATCTTCCTAGCTTGGTAAATTCTTGGGTGGTTCCTTTGTCTCCTTAAATCCCGACCATTGGCTTGGTGGCTTACCATCTAGATCCGGTGCTCAGCCGACGTGTATCGACCTCACCAAGTAAGTGTGGGATTTTCTTCGATTGCCTTTTCGGGGTACTGCTTTGTGTTGTGTAGCGAAATGACTACTTTGTCGCCTACGATCCTTCTTTCCTTCAGGCTGGACAGAAATGGAGACAAAGGGCAGAGACTAGAGAAGAGGGAGGCAAACACTGCGAACGAGAGAGTATGGGAGAGGAGGAGATGAACCAACAAGTCTCCACTCGGGCGGTTGTAGCCTTCCTCATTTTGCTGCTGCTGCTGCTGCTGCTCTGGTGGTGGCCGTGGTGGCTGCTGGCTCCTCTTCTCCGCCTGGGGCAAGAAGCACCGACCACCGATCACCGATCACTTCATCGTCTGCTTCTCTCATGCTTCAGTCTCGCGACCAAGGTTCTCTTCTCTTGTCTTCTCTGGTTTCTGGTTTCTGGTTTCTGGTTTCTGTTTGCCCGTTTTCCTAATTCTTTTCGTCTTTCTTTGCTCTTCGCTCTCCAGCTGGAACCTGAAATCGTGTCTTGCCTTCTCTTTTCTTTCCATACTCGATACTCGCACCGCACCCGGGGTCTCCTCCCCCACTATTCCGCAAGGTCCCTTGAGTTTGAGTGGTGCCTTAGTCGTGGCTTGAGTCTGGCCCGCACCGGGTCCGAGAGTCACCTGACTAGCTGACCAGCCCGGCAACTCGGACCAATCCCTCCCTCCCTCCCTCTCTCCCCTCTGCCTCTGCCTCTGCCGCTGCCGCTGCTGTTGCTGCTTTGCTGCTTCCCGACTCCTCTCTTCCCTTCCCAAACTCATTTCCATCCTCTGTTACCCGTCCCATCTTTTATCCTTTCCATTCATCCACACTCAACTCACATCTCCTCCTTCATTCCTGTCCCAATTCTATCCAGGGACCTTGCGCGCACATTCTCCACCTCCCTTTCCCTAATCTTCCCTTCCTCTCTGCCCGTCTTTTTTCCCCTCCGTCCGTGCCCGGTCTTACCTGCGGCGCGCTCAATTCTCGCTCCTCGTCAATGTCTCCACCCGCCTTTGACGATACTGACCACGCCCAGCGCGAGAGGTCCCGTTCTCCCCGACGCCGTTCCCGTAGCCCCCGACGCAGCCGTCGTTCCTATTCTCCTCGCAGTCGCTCACGCAGTCGTGACGACTACCGCCGTTCCGATCGTCGTTCCCGCTCGCCTATGAGTACGGCCCAAGGCCCTTCTGGTGGTCATTCATCTTCTGGTTACGGTGGGCGCAGCAGCTACCCGCCTCCGGCTCGGTCATACGAAGAACGCGCTGTTCACAAAGAGCAAATGATGCAAGCCGTGCGCGAGTCGTCCCAGCAAGACCGTCGGGTCTATGTGGGCAACCTTTCCTACGATGTCAAGTGGCATCACCTCAAGGATTTTATGAGACAGGGTGAGCAGGGTCACATCGTCTCGAGCGTCTGGTTCGCTCGGGTCGTCGCTATCGAATTTGAGGGCTGACTTTGGAGGGGGATTTACCCGCGTTGCGTGTTTACAGCTGGAGAAGTTATCTTTGCCGATGTCTTGCTTCTTCCCAATGGAATGTCGAAGGTGGGCGCCAATGCGTAGTGTGGCTGGTTTTTTTCCATTTCTGCCCTTGTTGTTATTCCTGGACTTTCCCCTTCCCTTTCCCCCTCTCGTTGGTTTGCTTGTTATGGACTGTTTGGGTTGACGGGCTGGGCCTGGCCGTCCGGGATACTGTAGGGATGCGGGTAAGGACCTCCTGCTGCTCAATGACCTTGTCGGAACGCATGCTGACTCTGCGGCCAGGATTGTGGAATACGCGACCAGGGATCAAGCGCAAAATGCGGTCAACACCCTTAGCAACCAGAACCTGATGGGTCGTCTTGTCTACGTTCGTGAGGTAGGTCATGGCTTGGCCTCGGCTATCAATGCTTGCCGACTGACGGGATGGCTGCAGGATCGTGAACCCGAGCCGCGTTTCACCGGCGGACCTTCGCGTGGCGACTTTGGTGGTGCCGGTCGCGGCGGTTTCGGTGGTGGATTTGGCGGTGCTGCTGGTGGTGGCGGTGGTGGAGGTCGTCAGCTCTTCGTGTCCAACGTAAGTGCGGTTACCAAAAGCATTAGATACCATGGAGAATTGATGGTGGGATGTCTAGCTCCCGTTCAACGTGGGTTGGCAAGATCTGAAGGATTTGTTCCGTCAAGCCGGTAAGTCACTCTACACGGAAGCGCGCGGCGCCCTTCAAGGGCCTCTTGCGTGATTTCCGCTCGGACAGCAGCTAATTCTGTAGCTCAACAAGGTGCGGTTATTCGTGCCGATGTTCACACTGACGCCACCGGTCGGCCTAAGGGCTCCGGTATTGTCGCGTTCGAGTCCCCTGAGGACGCTCGCAATGCCATCCAGCAGTTCAACGGCTACGACTGGCAAGGTCGGCCCTTGGAGGTCCGTGAGGATCGCTTTGCTGGTGCTGGTCCCGGCTTTGGAGGCCGCGGTGGCTTCGGAGGTCGCGGCGGCTTCGGCGGCGGCTTCGGTGGTCGCGGCGGCTTTGGCGGTCGTGGTGGTTTCGGCGGCGGCTTCGGTGGTCGTGGCGGCTACGGCGGCGGCCCTGGCTTCGGCGGCCCTGGCGGTCCTCCCGGCGGCCCCGGCTTTGAGGGAGTCGCTTCGGTTCCCCCCAACCCTTTCACTGACTTTGCCACTTCCGGCGGCGAGAAGAGCCCCGTCATCTACGTGCGCAACGTAAGTTAAAACCTGACTTCGTATAGATTATTGGTGACTCATCCGGATATAGCTGCCCTGGTCTACCTGCCACGAGGACCTCGTCGACTTGTTCTCCACCATCGGCAAGGTTGATCGCGCCGAAATCCAGTATGAGCCCAATGGTCGCTCCCGTGGCACCGGTGTGGTTCAGTTTGACAGTGCGGACACTGCTGAAACTGCTATCGGTATGTGCAGGCCATTGCGTTGATGGCTGATCCTTTTACTGACTCCTCGCGCAGCCAAGTTCACAGGCTACCAGTATGGTGGTCGTCCCCTGGGCATCACCTTTGTCAAGTACTTGAATGTGGGTGGCCCTCCCGCGGACGCGATGGAGGGCCAGGAGCCCACGGCTCCCATCACCCAGGATCAGATCATGTAATTGTACCAGCTTGATGGAAATATCTCGGCTTTCGGAGGATTGGGTCGAAAAAGTTTGCGATGTATGACTCCGAGTGGTTTAAAGAATCACCTGTCGGCGCGGGCTCGCGTATGCTGATTACCTTGAAATATCGCCCATAACCTCATTCCCCATTTTCGATATTGTTTGTGTTCGATCTGTTCGATTCAAGTCACCTTTTATGACGTGTGTTTATCGCTGGTTAGCTTTCGTTATATGTTTTCTCATCTCTGGCGATCTGGTTCCGTGGGGATAAATCAGACCTGGTATGACAATATCCAAGAATGTGCGTGTGTACCCCGGGGTGTGGGATGGGATGGGGTCTTGCGTCCGATGCAGTTGCGGTTTCTGTTGACTGCTCCCGACAAATTGATGGTTCTGAACAGAGGATATGGTTTGGTGATATGTTGGACCATCCCGTATTCGGTAGGTCTGGTAATGCGCATGCAGTGGTAATGTGGTAGGCTGTGGTAGGCTATGTACAGTAAGTTCTGCAACATATTGTCCGGTGGGAGACTGTGCTTGTTCATTTGGTCTTGTTGGAGACAACCACGGGTTACACCCGAAGACAACATACATGTACAAAATAGTTGGTCGTTGTCATCATACTTGACTATCTTATTCATGTACACTGGGAATGGAGATGAAAACTACACAAACCCGTCCATGCATGGAATGTCGTAGTACATAAACATGAACAAACCAACACAATCTCAGTCAGGATTGCTACAACTCAGAAAAATACCTTGACTTGTTTTGAATCCAGTGTCAAAATCAACAGGGAGGGGTGCAAGTGGTAGATACCTAGATCGGTTACTGTACCGAGCACTATTCCAAAGAAAACCAACGGTGGGCCTCTCTCGTCATCTGATGGATCACATCCTTTTCACTACAAGTAGATAGATAGGGCGGAATGATACGGAGTAGATAATTACTACACGGACTGCAAATTGTTCTCGCATTGTACTCCGTATTGCAGGGAGGTTTCCGAAGAAGGAAAGGGAATAAATATGATAGATCCAGAACCATACGATCAGAGAAGCCAGCTTGGAGCCAAACCTAGATTCAAACAGGCAGGGAATAGCAAGAAAGAAAGAAAAAAAAAATGAAAAAAACCACATCATCATCAACCCAATCTCGCACAACCAACACTCAAAAACAGTAGTGATGGAGGGACACGGATCATGGTGATGATGAGGCATGGATGAAGTAGATACAAGAGAAGTGTAAGTAAGTAAAGAGGCAGCAAAGAAGTGAGGCAAGCAAGAAAACAGGAAACACCGCAGTAAGTCACGGCCCTTCAATGGAGCATCGCAGTAAAAGAAAACCCCCCTCAGCCGATGAACCTAACCGACCAACCACCCAACCAACCGCCTTATCCGTTGCCGAACCGCCCGGCCATCCGTGAGTCTAACGCCGTTGTAAAGAGAAACAGAAAAGGAATAAATGACGAGATTTGAAATAAAGAAAAAGGTTCAGCTGCGGTCAAGTTTGGCCTTGACCTGTCGAGCTGTGAGGGATCCGATTGCCCCTATCCGATTCGCGCTGGTCGAACCTGTCATATGTGGTGGCAGAGAGCGCCAAGAGCGATGGAGTGCACGGTTCTGTGATGTGTGTGCGTATATATAAAGGGACTGGGGAGAATTTGAGGTGAAATGGGTCACAGTGAGGATATTTGATTTTGTATCTCTCCCTCCCACATATTGTTGTTGAAATTTGTTTGTTGGTATGTGTCATCCTTTATGGCTCTTCAAATATTGAAGGTAAAAGGCGCACACATATCAAATCACCACATCATTGTCGTCAAGTCGTGAAGATATACAAAGGGAAAGAAAACATAGGAAAGGGTGTGACAAAGGAAATTGCCTTCCTGGGGTTGCATGACTCTTGTTTTTCTGTCGAAGTCCCTTCCCCAAGTCAGCAGTATTTCAGACGACGGTGGATGGCCATTCGTCTGAGATTACCCAATCACATAACTCCTGCGTCTATGGCGACAGGTTATTTGCAGGAGGATAATGACCTGGGATTTGCAGTTCAAGAGTGGAGACACTGCCCTTGGTTTGTGCGGGAGGTCGTTTGGCACTGCCATTTTGTGTGACGGCCATGTCGGTGGCAACAGTGCCGACAGACGGGCCAGCATGTATAATTCCCTCATCGTCGGTGGTTGTCATGGGCTGCTTGGCTGCGCCGTCGAGCTCAACCCCAACAATATCAATACTGGGTTCCTCATGCTCGTCGATTGAGCTCGGAAGGGTGTTGTGTGTATACTCTGTCCCGTTCGTGGCCGTGGGCGCTGTTGAGGCGCTTTCGCCGCGGTTGCGTTGGCGGGTCAAAGATGGATCTCGCGAGCTCGTGGAACCCATCCCAGTGACAAAGATGGCATCGCCGGTCTCTCGGTCCTGATAATCCCGGTCATAACCTTGCTGCGCTGGCTGACTGTAACCTCCAGCTCCCATGTATGTGCCATAGTGGCTGTCGTGCCTTTCGACTGGCTGGGGAAACCCTTGGTTCTCCAAGTGACTGTCATTTGCCTCACCATCGGTCATGGCGCTGTTGAATGGCCGAGGATCGGAAAAGGAGCCGGCCGCCGCCAGCAGGTCTCTGTCACCGGAGCTCTCACCGCTGGAAGGCGACAGAGGCGCCTCCAGGTGACGGTCTATCTGGACATCGCTGGGAAAGCGGCCTCCTGGTTGACGGGGCTGGGAAGTGGGACG